AGCCCAGGCCAGAAACCGGAAATTTGCCTCTGCGAAGGGCTGTGTTTTCCATCTGAACAGTGCAGCCCTTTCTTTTAGGAACTGTCAGCAGAAATAAAGAATGCTGTTGATGGACAAGAACCAGGCAAATGTTTGTTTCAGGCATGGAGACATGGAATGTTAAAATGGAAGTCTTTGTTAGTCCAGGGGTTGTAAACTGAAATGTCTTGCAGGGCCAGACCAGGGACAAAAACAGTATTTAGTGGTGGGTCTGTGACCTAAAGGTGAGTAGATACCTGACCAAAGCAACTCAAACCAAAACGTGAGCCCTGCACTAGCTGAACAGAACATATCTGTAGGCTTCTGAATGGCATTGCCCTTGAATTCCAATGCCTTCATTTCACAGATGAGAAAATGAGGCTGAGTGAGGGGAAGTGTCTGGCCCATATCAACTGGCTTGCTAAACAGTTTCTTTGCTTTGTTCTAGTCACTGAGATGGGCTGATGCTGTCCCCTCTGCAGTTACACACATCCCATTTCACTGGTCTGCACAACAACCCCATGCAGTCCCATGCTTCTATTCTATGGACGTCATGCCTGAGGTTCAGAGAGGTTAACTCACTCACCCCAAGTCACAGCATCCACAAATAGCTAAGTCTTCTTTTGCTTCCTCGGGCAGCTCTCTGCCCTTCAACCTGGTTGCACATGGCCCCACATGGCACCGGAGACCCCGTCTCTCAGTGGATGATGCAAAGCAAACGGCTACTGCTTTCGATGCCTCCTTCTCTAAGAAGTCTTCCCTGACCCCTCAGTTACACATCCTGGGTGCTGAAGCAGTACTTCACCTCCACTTCTCTTGGAGAAGTTTCATGCTTGGAATCAGGCTTGTTTGGTGCTCACTGCCCGAGCAGACTTCAGGCTTCGTTGGAGCGGGGCTCACACCACCTTAATCTGGGCATCTGCCCTTGGGGCCCTGCTCTCGGCCTGCTATATGACACTGATCATTACACAGTTGACAAATGTGCTGACATCTGCTGCAGACCCACACATAACTGCTGCTCTTCTTCAGCTCATCATCACTCAGTACGACTGTGCCAGGATCCATGCCCGCTGCACCCTGTTAGCTACACTTTTATTGGGGAGATATGGGCATTTTCTGTGGATAGATCATTTTAATGTAATAGATTTAAGTAGGCTCGATATTCCAGCCTTGCAGTGTGCTGCTCATAACTCTCCTCTAGGATCGGGTATGTGAATGACATAAACATCTGTAGGACTTGCCAAGGTTGGGTGGGGACCAACTCGGCTGTCAAGAGGATCTAAACCAATGGCTTTGGTGAAATTAAGGTAGTTATGTTGGGCTTATTACCTCCTGTATAACTTATTTCTAAAGTATCTGTGATAGCAACTTGAAAGCAGGTTTCCTCTCTGAAAGGACAGACAGGCAAACCAGGTTCATTGGCTGGGGACTCTGGACTGATGGACAGCAAAGTCAAAGTGAGAAGAATTATACTCAGTCTTTCCTGCACAGTTTGTCTGACCTATAACAACAACCAGGGCAGAGACGGAATTAAATTTCCTAAAAGTTCAGAATCCATGTACTTCTCTATACTGAAGTAAATATGAACTTATCATAAATAAGCACCGGGCAAAGAATCAAGACACTGAAGTTCTATCCTGGCTTTGCCCATAATAAGCTGTGTGACTTTCCACAAGCCACATTCCTTTTCTGGAATCTGGTTTTTCTATCTGTAAAATGAGGACAATGGACAAAAGCTGACAGTATCTGAATCTCCTAGAGAAATCCTATTAAAAGTACAGAAACATCCAGTCTCCCTTGGGGCACTGATTCCTTAGATATGGGGTGGGATATGACATCTCTGCTGTAATCACTACCCTGGAGGGTTCTGAGGATCCACTGGGCTGCTGTTTGGCATTTGCTAGATTGGAGGCTGTCTACTGCTCTCACATGTTAGAATAAGAGAAGTCAGAAAAGGCTGAAGTCGCCGCAGCCTTTGCGTTGTTAGACTCACAAGCCCACACTGCCCCGTGGTGGAAAGCACACCCTTTTGTTGGTCCTAGAATGCCATACTCAACTTCTGCACATTCTGATTTCTAATGGAAAAAAACCTCCATTCTAATGGAAATAGATTGTTGCTTGTGGCTCTCAACCACTGCCCAGGGTTCCCCAAGCCCTGCAGCATACCGAGTCTCGTCACAAGAGACCGCAAAATATGTGCCCAAGAAAATGGGCACAGGCAAATCAGTGTGCTCACAGTACATAGGTGCAATGACATCCCATGTCTTCCTGTGTCCTGGGAAATCAGCACCCCCACCCACCGGGACGGTTTGGGACCACTGTTGGGGTGGTACCTTGGACAGCTCCCTGTGGCTTTGCCTTGGAGACCCTCTGGAGCAACTTACCAAGTAAGCTACTTTTGATTTCTTCCCGTCCCCCTGGAAGACAGAGCATTTTGGGGTGGAGGTTCACTTCGGACATTTGGGGAAATGAAGGCACAGAAAAGCAAAAGGCAGGCTGGTGTGGAAACCATGTCCTAAAAGACAGTCCAAAAGACCTCCCCTGGGGTTCTCCTCCTACAATTACCAATCTTGGCATAAAGCTACTGTTTTCAGAACACTTCACAAATGCCCCTGTGAGGGTGATTGTTCTCATTCTGCAGAACTAAGGCTCAGAGAGGTGAAGTGACCGAGATCACGTGGCATGGATCTGAAGCTGGGTCTGAGGCAGAAGCCCCACCAGATTGCTCTTCTGTGTCGCTTTCTCTTTCCGTACATGGTCTGGGACTTTGGGGAAATCACAAGTTCTGAAGACACAGCTGTGTCCTTGCCCACTGGGGTAGTCTCTGAACAGATGCATCAGAAAATGAGGCTGTGGGCACTAAGGCAGGAAGGAGCATGTGTCATGTGTCAGATGGCTCATGTGCCTAGAGCTGTGCTAAATCCCCCGTATTAAGAAGCCAAAATCTAGACTCAGGTCTCCTGTTGTACCACTCACCAGCTAGGTGACTATAGGAGGGTCACTTGGTTTGCCCTGACTCAGTTTCCATATGTGCAAAATGGGATTCAGATGGCTATACTGGTGACCAGGTGTGGTGAGTATTCCTGGTATTCCTGGAAGCATTCCAAGGAGACCTGGTGTATGCTGGCCTCTTGGAGAGGGCACAAAGCTGTGTGCTCTTCATGGGTTTCTGGATCAGGCTAGTGGAAAGGACCAGGGGGTAGTGGTGGTCTCCCACAGGAGACCTATTAAGGCTTCTCAAGTCTGTTTGCAAAGACAACGAGGGTAGAGGAGAATGTATGGAAGGGGAATGCGTATCACCCCTGTTTGATCCTAAGTTTGGAATAGTAACTGGAAAAATTAATACTCCTTTGTGTCTTAGTGAACCTTGTTTGTCCCAGCCCCAATTCGGGAAACACGGAAGGGGAAGTTTTTTCCATCATTCCTCTGGGGCAACAGTCTGAGTCAGGTCCTCTCTCTCCTCTTCCAACATCCTAGGAATGCCAGACAATGCACCCTGGGCCAAGACCTTACCTCTGCCCAGGCAGCACCTTTGGGTGCTCAGCCATAGCTGCTTGTGTGGCGTCTGAGCACAGGATTGCAACTGTGATGCAGGAGTCCAGGGGTTTCCTTGTGGGCAAAAGCCCTATGCATTTCCCCCTGGAGCTACTTGGGTCCCTCTTGAGGTGAGTACTAACCTACCCTAAGCTGGGGACCCTGAGCTGCCAACTCCCAGTTCCTCCTGGCAGGACCCCTGAATCCAGTCTTTTCCTTGAACCAGTTGCCTTCAATATAATAAAATACCAGCGACTTCTAGAGCATTGCGCGCTCAGCTGAGCTTCATGTTCACATTGATGATTTTTAAAGACATCACGACAGCTCCGAGAAAGGTGTTGTTTTTCTCAGTTTATAGACAAGAGAACTGAGGCTTAACGAAGTAACGGGGCATACTTAGGGCTACGCAGCAAGTCAAGGGTAAATTTGGGATTGGAACCCAGGGCTGTCATCCCAAAGCTTCCTGCCCTCGCTCTACAGCCTTCTCGGCGCGCCTCTCCTCTATAAGTACCGGTCCCAGACCGCGCGGTCCCGAACGCATTGGGCGCCAGTGACACTCCGGGCTACACAACTGGGGAGGGGGCGAGGGTCTCCGGTCCCTGCGGCGTCTCCAGAGCCCATCACGACCCGAGAGCCCACGGGCCCCCCGAGAGAGCATGAAAGTTGGATCCCTCAGAAACCTTGCTCTGACCCGTGGCCACCTGGAAGCAAAGCCATAGCGTGCGGCGTGTTGCCGGGTCCGGAATCGCCACAGAGCGCGCTTCTGCGGTCGGGGGACGCGGCCCGAGCACTGGAGCCTTTTTCCAGGGAGAGGCGCAACTTTCCTAGGTTCTAGGAACCAGTACTCTCACACCCTAATCTCTCCAGTGCTGAGAAGTGAGGGGTGCAGGCGACCCGCCATTACCGCTGGAGCGCAGTGACGATACCCGAAAAGTTGGCAGCCAGGCAGAAGCAACGTTCCCCCGGAGCAGAGCCCTCACAGCCTCGGGCCCCCCGCGGAGGGTGGCTTGAGATGCCAGAGTCCGCCATTACCGCGGGCTGGCAGTGGCGATACCTCCGCGAACCGGGCACCGGGGTAAAGCTTGAAGTTAAGATCCCGCAGGTGCAACGATCCCCGGGGACTGGCGTCCCCCCAGCCTCACGCTCCTGCTAGGGGTAGTAAGCGGTGCCAAAGGGTCCGCCATTACCGCCGGCGCGCAGCTCCGAGTCGAGCGCGCCGCTGAAGAGGGACCGGGGTCCCTGCAAAGTTGGAACGGGGCGGGCGTGTCGACCCTTCTGAGACCTGAGCCCCCGGCCCGGGGCCGCCAGCTGGGAGGAGGGCAGGCCACCCGAACCAAGTTAGCACGCGCAGCAAAGCCCGCGTCTCCCGCGCGCTCGGGGGTCTAGCTCGGGAGCCGGGAGCCCTGGGGTACAGGGAAGGGACGCGGGCTGCCTGGGCCAGAACTCACCTGCCTCCGAGCGGGGCGGCGCCGAGGCTGCCTTTTCGCGCTACGCACCCGCCCGCCCTCCGGTCCGCTCGCCTACCCGCCTCCTACTCCTCCTTCTCCAGCTCCCGGACGCCCGCAAACGCCGCGCTCCAGGTTCCGAATCCTCAGGGTCCGCTGCCCCGCGCTGCTGGAGGGCGCCAGACGCACCCACTCACCGCCGGGTAGGAGCCACGCGCGTCCCTCCCCCTTCCCCTCCGCTTTGTGCCTCCGGGATCTCTCCCCACCCCCTCCCGCCTAGCCCCTATCCCCTCCCCTCTTCCCTCTCCTCCCCTCCCTCCGCCTTGGCGGACCCAAGTTCGGGACGGAGGCTGCGGGCTTCCCCCGCGCAGAGCCCGGTGCCCCGCGCGCGCCCCTGGCTCACCCTGTCGGCCCGGGCGCCTGGCCGCCCCTCGGAGGAGCCGCAGCGCTAAGTAGCTCCTCGCCCAGCGGCTGGAAACGCGGCATAAATATGTAGAGACTGAGCCGTGAGCTCAGCGAGGGTCGTGAGGGGGAATTTATTTCTTAATGTCCCTCCTTTATCCTATCATCGCTGAAACGAATTAGCGGTGACGTCCAACCCGGCTGGTTTATGGGTGTGGGGAGGGAGACGTCGCAACCCTCATTAAAAGAGCTGCTCTGGGCTCCAAAGCATACATCTTTTATATAACCTAATTTCCATTTTTTTTCTATCAGGAAACACACACACACCATGACAATTTCTGGGAGTCTGGAGGGGGCTGAATGTAGTGGCCACCAGGCAGCTCTTTGGCAGCGCGGGCTCCGCGGGAGGCTTGGCGGTTGTTTGTGTTTCTCCACGGTGTTGGGAGCTCTCTCCTGAGCGGGACAGTGGAGCCTGGGCCTCCCGTGCTGGGCAGGAACCCAGGAGATGGCCGCCTTAGTTCTGGCCCTGGTTCTTGGGGGGGGGGGGCGAGAGGCAGACGGGCAGAGGTAGCCTGGTCTGGAAATATTGCCTGTTCTGGCCTTCCCTGGAGCAGCACGAGGCCTGGCAGCAAGGGTGGAGAAAGGCTACCGGGCACAGGCGCACCTGTGGCCTGGGAGACCTCAGGCAGGTTGGGACCAGCCAGGGCTGTGCTGGGGGAGGAGAGAGACAGAGAACCGAGCTTCCTTCCTTTCTTAGGGACCCTAACATATGGGTAACCATATAAACCCGTCGCAAAAGCTGTCTTTTCCTGGGCAGATTGCAAAGGATTTTGTATTTCACTGTTGTTGCTGCTCACACTCTTGGGGAAACAGGGAAAATCAAGGAAAGGGAGAATTTGGACACGTGTGCACAGACTCAAGCACCTGGCCCTGGACAGCTTGAGCTTCCCCCATCCTGCCTTGCTGCGGGGAGGAAGCCCACTCAGGCTCAGCCGAGTTGTGCAGAGAAGTGGCAGAGAGGAAACTGCCACCCTCATTGTCACTAATAAATGCTTTCGGATCGTCTTGCACATCAAGCACTGGAGGAGGGGTGTGACTTTAGGGGCAGGAATAGGGGTGTCGGATGAGGCAGGGATGGAAGTAGAGAATAAACTGGCGGTGGGGTGGGGCGTGGAGGTCGGTGCTGTCTTCCACACCGTGGAAGGAACGCAGGGGAAATTCACTCTGGCCCAGGGCCCTGGGCAACCTGACTGCTGGAAGGGCAATTTCAAGAATCTGTGGTGAGCTGGGCTTAGGGTCATCGGTCACAGTGAGGATGCAACAGTGAGATGATGCTGGTGAATTTCTTGGCGTAGTGCCTGGCTCGTAGTAAGTGCTCAGTAAACAGTAGCCAAAAATAACTGTGAGGATGGAGCCGAAGAGCAGTGCCACAAAGGCGGGGCGGGCCCAGGGGGCCACGCTGCCGCTGGGTCCCTCAGTCCTGAGTCCCACTTTCCCTGCCTGAGCCACTTCAAAGTTGAACACTGGGTTTCAGTGGTATCAGAACACTGCTCCCCTCAATTACCATGGCAACTGGAGAAAATCAGGAAGCCAGGGGAAGGGAAGCTGCCTTACACTGGGCTGGCAGTTCACCTGCTGCAAACAGACTCCTGGCCTGCCCGCGTCCATCAGAGGTCAGGAGAGGCCCGACCCGGGGAGGGGGTTCCTCCCCTCCTGCAGCACCAGCTGCTGAAATTGGGGAGAAGGGTGGCAGGTGGGGGTATGGATAGCCACGAGAAGGTGCTTGCAGAAGAGAGAGAACTGAGTTCAAGGAGAAGGGGACAGAAACCCGCTCCCCCAATTCTGTCCTCACCACAAGGTGTCCTGGTGCAGCTGAGTGCAAAGCCCTGTAATGTGGCTCTTGAGAGAGACTGGGGTCCCGGGTAGAGGCAAGGGACCACAGAGGTTATGTGTGTGTGTATAAAGAGAAAAGTAGAGGGAGACAGAGACAGGGAGGGATGGGCAGGGGGAAGCGTAAAAGAGGGCAAGAGAGAAAGGGAAGTGGAGAGGAAAGGGAGGCGTGAGGAAGGGGGGAAAGGGAGAGAGTGAGAGACGTGACTCTCCTTCCCTTTCCTTTACCTGTTTTTTTCTGTAGAAAAGCTAGCAACATACTAGTTGTGGGTATAGAAAGAATTCAGGGTTTCTTGTTATCTTGTATGGAGTACATATCATTTTGTCCACTTTGAGTCAAGCACTGTCTGGGTATGTCTCATTGAATCATTATAAAAATTGTGAGAGAAGATTTCTCTTGCTCATCTCCATTCACCAAGTGGACAAAGGAGGCTCAAGGTACGGGGACCTTCTCCAGGTCCCTCAAGTAGTAAGGCAGCTACTAGAACTCGGGTCTCTTCCTGCCTCCCCACCACCGCCTTGTGGAGAAAGGAAGAGTGATGTTGGTCACCAGAGCCATCTTTCTTGGGTCTAGTGATATCTGGCATTTGGGGAACGCCCTCACTTGGGTGGGGCAGGCCCCAAGAAGGCTTCTAGAGCTGCCATAAAAAGAACAGAGAGTCACACGGTGACCCTGAGACCAGGCAGAATGACGGTCCCACCACAGCTCCTGGGGCATGGCCCGCTCTTGAAGTCTTTCCTCCTTTGAGGTTGCCTGGGCAACCTTAGTGCTGGGTTGTGGCAGGAGCTGTTCACAAAGCCACCCTTCTGCTAACCTGCTGTAGAACTCAGGCCACCTCGAGGCAGCGGGTCAGCATGAACCAGCCCTCCGTACATGGCCACCATGATCACTGTTCTTGGGCCTTCTCTCAGGCCCCACCCTCCGCCCCTGTGTGCGCACTGGGATGGGCGTGAGGGACCTTCCCTAGCTGAACAGAACTTGTCTCCTTTCTCCCTCTCTGCCTCCCTGGACCCTAATAGTCCCCACCCCACAGCTTGGAGGTGGGTCCCAGAGTGGAACGTTCTGGTAGGGCCCAGGCAGGGCCCAGGGAAGGAGGGGAGAGGGAGGAGGTTTGCTGATGAGGCTGCCACTGAGGGGGTAATATATTATCCAGGGCTAATGAAAACATAATTATCTTCTTTGGGCTGCAGAGAGGGGCTAATTTAATAGGCTGCGATCGAAAGGCATCTGCTTAATTCACCCAGCAGTGAAAACACTTGAAGGGCTTGGGGAGGCTGCAGGCAGAGTGCGGCCAGTAGGCCCTGCAGCCTCCTCACAGCGGCAGCTCCCCTCAGGAGGGGGCAAAGGGTGCAGGGGAGAAGCAGCTGAAGGGCTTTGGCAGCTGACAGGCATGCTGGCACAGACATACAAGGTTGCTCCTCTCTGAGAGATCCTGGGTCAGTCCTTTTCCTCTCCGGGCTCAGCTACCTCGTGTGTGAGACATGCATCTTGCCTCCCTTGCACTGACTGGAAGGGAAGGCTGAGACCTCAGAATGGGTCTTGGCAATGCTTCCGTGGCGGCTCTGCTGGGCCAGCTGAACTCAGCCTTGAGGTCTGAGCGTGAACAGCCCCCCGTTGAGCTCCCCCGCCTGGGCGCCCTTTTTATAATGTACAATGCACTTCAGACCATACACTTGTCTAACCTGACATCAGGCCCCACAGGGCAGGACAGGTCTGTCTCATCTGCCTCGAAACCAGTGCTTCTCAAAGCCGGTTCCCCTCACTTGCCTCAGCAACACCTGGGAACTTATCAGCGACACCAGTTGTTGGGTACCGCCCCCCCCCAGGCCTGCAGTCTGCCTTTTACCAAACTTGCCAGGATGTCCCAAAGCACACCAAGTTCAAGAATCTTTGCTCCAATCCAACACTAAGTCAATGTTTGCTGAAAACAAAAGAACATAGAGCTTGCTGGGGTGAACCTATGTAGCAATAACTACCTTTATTAACCAACAACTGTCTCGGAACCTGCAGGATGACACTCAGCCACTCCAAGCCATGCCCTTATGCGCCACCTTCCACCCCTCCCCCCACACCTCTATCCCCAAGCAATATCCCTTGGACTGCTGGTCTGTCCTGAGTTGAAGCTCATAGGGGGTGTTGAAAGACCCAAAGGGTGTCTCCCTACAACCGCTTGCCCTTCTCCCTCCAGAGAGAGCCTCTGGGTCTGGAAAAGAACTGTTTTCAACCCTGCGCCTGGCTGCTTGGCTGAGGAAGTCACTCAGAGGTGCTTGGGAAAGACCGTGCTCATCAGCCAGTCTCGCAGTCAGAGAGGCAGAGAACGAGAAACAGCTGTCTCCAGCTCTGGCTTTTCACACAAGGGAGACAAGGGAGGCCCTGGCCCAGGAGGTTCAGCAGTTCATCCAGCGGTGACAATTTCAGGGGTCAGTCTGTTCCCTGTCCTGACGGCAAGCTCAGAATGCTGCCTCTGGACTTTCTGGGAATCAAAGTAGGGGTGAGGGTGTGTGTGACCTCCCAGGAGGGTGGGGTGACACAATCCCTGCACAGTCTAGTGGCTGGCCAAATATCATGTAGATATTTACAGGCCTCGCACAGGGGAGAAATAGGAAGGCGCCCTATGTGAACACCAGATTTGAAGCTGGAACATCTGACTTCCAGACATGGCTCTGCCACTTAGTGGGCTGTGTGAGGTTAGCCAAACCCCTTGGATTCTCTGGGTCTCAGAAGGTGAGCTTAACCGGAGGATGATCAACTGCTTGGACTTATATGTCAAAA